GGACATGTAATAGGGTTATATTAAATGGTTTGGCACAGGTGTATTCTGTACTAGCTGTTTCTGGATGATCTTCAGGTATATTGCAATGTAAAATTCATTACATTAGTTCATCAATGACTGATACCACCATTTTCTTTTCCACGAACAATCAGAAAATGGTACACCAACTAAAGCTCAATCAAAGCCCTCCTGGTTATAGCTTCCATAGATGTTTCATAAATTTAAAGACCAGGGAAACCCCAATTTGTGCAGTAATCAAGAACTAAAGCCAGTATATTATCCTGAACTTAGCCTCTAAACCAACAGTCATGCCATCTTGACATGTTAAGTCTTGACATGTTTCTCCTACATCCTTATAACTTCAAGAACTGGGTCAACACTTCCATCCCATCTCTCAAACTGTCTGAGATAAAGATGCAAATCTAAGTTTAATCATCAACACTTATAATAGAATCATAGGTAGGAAGGGACTTTGGACATCTACTAGTCCAAACCACTGCCCAAGGCAAGATTTTATACCATTTGGTCAAATGGTTGCACACCAGCTGAGGACTGCACTTTTCTCTTCTTTGTCCTCTCAACTGATTGTCAGAGGTTTTTTTTTTTACTACTGGTTCGGCTGAACCAGTCCAAACCAGTAGCATACCACCACTGGATAAGATGTCGTTTGAAAGAAAAAGAAAAAAAGGCCACCCTGGTTACATGCTGTGACAAAATAGGAGATCACTTGCACTTCATTAAAGCAAGTAAGATTACTAATAGTAGGCGACTAGTATGGGCAACCATTTCATAACAACTATATCTGCTTTGGGAAAGTAAAGTAACAACTATATCTGCTTTGGGAAAGTAAAGTGCTATCACCATCTATTCAATTACAGCTTGAACTGAGCTGTGTTTAGATAGTATTGCAAGTGAGCCATTACTGTTGCAATATATCATATGACGACAATGTAATGCCATGAGTTTGACACCCCTGTGCTATGTGGTAGTCAGTGGGTAAAACTGTGGACTCAATGTGACTTTAAGAATGTTATGCCCATGGTTTTGGAATGTAAGCTTTATACACAATAAAATGTAACCTTGAATCTATATAACTTCCACATAGTATACAAAAGAGTTACTATGAATAGAGAATTTTTAACAGATATTCAGAATTCATCTACCATAACAACAGAGTAGCTGAGGTACCCTGGGCACTAATATTGGATGGCCCCAGTTCAAAGTATGTATATTGTCAAAAAGGGTTTATGATTAATTAGATGAGTCATATGAGCCCTCCACATATTAGTTTTGCATCAGAACCTTATTTGATTTATTAATGCCATTCTAAAAGGCTGTTTAAAGGACTTATAGGAAACTTGAAGCAAATGTTCAAGCTCAGTGAGACAACTGGAAGCATAAATGTAGAATACATACATACGCAGAGAGAGAATGGAGAGAGTGCAAAGTGAGCAGAGTCTTACAAGAGTATTTTTGCACTTGTTTTCATATCAAAAAGAAAAAAAGCTAGAAATCTATTGGAAAGAGAAAGGGGTGAATTGGTAATGGATGATAGTTGAGAACAAACAAGGTAACACTTAACGTTATACTCACAAGTTAGCCCAGTGGTGTGTCCAACATTCAAGACAAACTAACCAATTTTCACTCAAGTCAGGATAGTTGTGACTATTTATATTATGCAACTGAAATGTCATATTAAAATCAAAGTAAAAGTACCTGTAACAAAATCTATAGCTTTTTTGTAGTAATTATGAAATCTAAAGTCTTTATTTTTTATTCATATATGAGAGATATTATATATTAGTTATTATAGATATTACATTTAGATTATAAGAACATTGCAAAAATAGGGTTTTAGTATTTCTTATGACAGAGGAGGTATAGACATGATCCCTAACTTTCAAATTGTAATTGCAAATGGTTACTAAACACAGCAGTTGCTAAATGAGGACTATTGTACATATATTCACTACAACCTGAAGAATAGTAGATTTTTTGAAATAACAAACTATGCCTTTCTTTTCTTCCATATTCATTCAAGGGATTTATATCACAACTTTTTTCTGTAGGATAAGACATATTATGAAAGAGTAAATAGGTCTTCGTGACAGACAAGATATTTTTAATTTTATTTATTTATTCAGAAAATTATGTGACTTCCTATCTTAAATAAATTACCCTTGGTGACTTCTTACCCAAGAATGTAATCTACATATGTAGCTCCATGAAAGAAAGGAAGGAAGGAAGGAAGGAAGGAAGGAAGGAAGGAAGGAAGGAAG